CATTGTTGTGAATTTATTAGTTTCGTACACATGAACACATTGTTGTGAATTTATTAGTTTCGTACACATGAACATATTGTTGTGAGTTGATTAGTTTCGTACACATGAACACATTGTTGTGAGTTTATTAGTTTCGTACACATGAACACGTTATTGTGAGTTTATTAGTTTTGTATATCTAAATACAATATTGCGAGTTTATTAGTTTCATATATATAAACACATTATTGTGAATTAATTAATTTAGTATGCAAAAGAGGGCACTTGGTAGTTTGTGAGTTTTCTTTACTTACTTTAAAAGCCCCACATATAACACTGTTACCATGTAGAAACTGAATATGGACAACTTTAATGTTGAAACATTAATAACCCTCCAATTAAACGCTCTTAGGAACTTACTACATGAGCCTTTCAAAATTTCAACAAACAACATGTAATTTGTTTCGATTTTAATTCAAATAACTTTATTACTACACAAAAAGGAGGAGCTTAGTGAAAATACCTTGAAATGTTTGATAATTAGGACATCTTCATTTTAAAATCAAAGTACTCTACCGAGTGTATTTCAACCTTGATTGTGTTAGTTTTACCTCAGCGAATTTATCGATAACAATGTCATGTTCGTTTTTCGCCCCTGGTAGCTCGGTGATAAGCTCGGGGGCTTATATTGCCTTTTACATTTTTAAACACTGGACATTGGTGTTAGGCCTATTACATTTTTAAACACTAGACATTGGTATTAGGCCTATTACATTTTTAAACACTAGACATTGGTGTTAGGCCTATTGCATTTTTAAACACTAGACATTGGTATTAGGCCTATTACATTTTTAAACACTAGACATTGGTATTAGGCCTATTACATTTTTAAACACTAGACATTGGTGTTAGGCCTATTGCATTTTTAAACACTAGACATTGTTATTAGGCCTATTACATTTTTAAACACTAGACATTGTTATTAGGCCTATTACATTTTTAAACACTAGACATTGGTGTTAGGCCTATTGCATTTTTAAACACTAGAAATTGGTATTAGGCCTATTACATTTATAAGCAATACATTGTTAATCTAATCCATTTTGGATTTTCAACTGCAACTTGTCTTTACCGCCTGGAGACTCTCGACGTAGGGTTTAGTTTAAAAATAATAATGTTAGTACAAAAGTGATTGTCACCGTCATCTTGGTGGTGAAACTTTTAGTGTGTGGTTTTGTCACAAGGGGTGCTAGTAACAGATCTGTTTGTTTGTTGTTAACCGCAAAGCTACATAATGTGCTACCTGTACTGTACCCACTACGGGTATCGAAACCCGATTTTTAGTGTTATAAGCCTTCACACGTGCCCACTGGACCACTTGGGCGCTAGTAACAGAAAATTATCATACCAGGAACTTCAGAATTGGAATTGTTTACGTGATTTGGTCTTATCTATAAGTTAACTGATAAAACATACCTGTATTGTGATTGAAATTTCCAGTAATGTTAAAATATCGTTTGGTGTTAGTTGATTTCAACCGTTATTTCTATAACTGGTGTATAAAAGTTTGTATTTACCTTTGACCTCATATTCGTTTTCAGTTAAACCTGGCCTTATTGTGTAACATCATTCGATGTTAGTTGATTTCAACCGTTATTTCTATAACTGGTGTAAAAGTTTGTATTTACCTTTGACCTCGTCTTCATTTTCAGTTAAACCTGGCCTTATTGTGTAGCATCATTCGGTGTTAGTTGATTTCAACCGTTATTTATATAACTAGTGTAAAAGTTTGTACTTACCTTTGACCTCGTCTTCGTTTTCAGTTAAACCTGGCCTTATTGTATAGCATCATTCGGTGTTAGTTGATTTCAACTGTTATTTATATAACTAGTGTAAAAGTTTGTACTTACCTTTGACCTCGTCTTCGTTTTCAGTTAAACCTGGCCTTCTTGTGTAACATCATCCGTGTTCTAGTGACGAAACTGCGAGCTGTTCATACAAACGAACCAAGCCAGTTCAGGTAAGAAAATACGAACCAAGCCAGTTCAGGTAAGAAAATATGCAGTGTCAAATGTTATGATTAAGTTTTATAGAATACAATAAGATATGCATAAATAAAAATTATCCTTGTAGTCACTGAGTTTTATATGTTAAAAGAAAAATCAAAATGTGTTAAATTGAAAATACTGTTGTGCTCGAGCAGTAAACAATTAGTTTTAAAATGTCTGGAGAGCAGTAAACAATCAGTTTTAAAATGTCTCTCGAGCAGTAAACAATCAGTTTTAAAATGTCTGGAGAGCAGTAAACAATCAGTTTTAAAATGTCTGGAGAGCAGTAAACAATCAGTTTTAAAATGTCTCTCGAGCAGTAAACAATCAGTTTTAAAATGTCTCTCGAGCAGTAAACAATCAGTTTTAAAATGTCTCGAGAGCTGTCAGCTGTTACGAACTCTCTTTATCTTACCAGTTATTTTTGCTCCCCCTTCTATTTTTTAAACATGATAAACATTAAAAGAGTGTAATAAAAATACATAAATTTAACAATACTGAAAATAAAGATATACTGTTTTCAAGAATTTTAACAATAGTGATTATACATTTCATTCTAATGCTGAGGGATATACAACATTGGTAGTTTTTCCGAAATTAGATATGAAATTAGAGGGGAGAGTTGAACCCTCCCCCCTCCCCACCTTCATGACCTTCCTCATGTCATCCTGTATCAAGTTTGGTGCTGATTGATCAAGAAATGTGGAAACGTTTAAGAAACAGATATGCACACACGTATTGTCGTTTATTAATACAGATATATACGTGGCTCTACCTATTGGTTAAATAATGAAGTACTGTATATTTAATATCACTCGTTCTTGATAAAGCCCTAGTCATGAGCGATAGGCCTCTTCGGCACAAACAGAGTTTGTTATTTCTCAGAAAATGGACCTGTTATGTCTCAAACGTTATGTCTCAGATTAATTTCATCTACCCCCTAAAATTTCTTTATAGTAAAACGTAATTATGCGACCCGTTAAAAAAACTTCTGTTGTTATTACGGGGATATTCAACCTTTTCGTCACCAGGGGCCGTTCGCTGCCTCCCTAAACTTGGTGGGCCACTAAATTCCAAGTACAACGAAAAACCATTTCGATTTACGTGCAAATATTTATCAATTTTTGTTTATTTGTTTGTTGTTTATGTGAAATCCGACGAAACTGTGAGGTGGCCGTGACGGACCGGCGCCTGTCCGAGGACAGGTGTTTGAGAAACACTGGTTGTGTTAGTGTAGGATCACATTGTATACCGAATCGCTGTGATTCCCACAGGAAGGCTGTGCGGGCTACTTTGGTTCTAGTTCCTCTGTTTGGTCTTCACTTTACCCTGATAATATACAGACCAGACAGTGGCAGCTGTGGTTGGCTGGAAGCATATTTCTACCTGAGCTATGCCATGGACGGGCTGCAGGTAAGCAAGGTTTGTCATAACGTAAAATATGCTAATGTTGAATTATGAAAAATTTAAAGATAACATTGTTTTTCTTTCGCATTTTCAAATCTTGGCTCAATGATAAGCGTAAAGGCATTTAACGGTAAAAATCGGGATTTGATACCCACGGGGAGAAATGCACAGATGCTCCAGTGTGTAGCCTTGCACTTAACAACAAACAAAACAAGGCTTAGAAATATTGTAGCCTTGCACTTAACAACAAACAAAACAAGGCTTAGAAATCTTGAATACTGCTATTATAAATCTAACTGACAAATCTTGAATACTGCGATTATAAATCTGACTGACAAATCTTGAATACTGCTATTATAAATCTAACTGACAAATCTTGAATACTGTGGTTATAAATCTAACTGACAAATATTGAATACTGCGATTATAAATCTTACTGACAAATTTTGAATACTGTGATTATAAATCTGATTGACAAATATTGAATACTGCTATTATAAATCTTACTGTTTTAATCAGAAATAGTAATTGTAAAAGTAAAAATATATTTATTAGATGTCCCTAATTAAACATTAAAGTAGCTAGTCAAAAATTACTTCTGCTTTTCCATTACCCTCTTCATTCTGACCAACAAATCCCTGTAACACGGGAATTCTCCGGCAGAGGGCAGCAGATTAGCAGCTTGGATGAAACATGTTAGGTAAACATCAGTTGATTTTTAGTATTAAAAATATGATCGTATAGATCACCGGCCGCCTTGAGTTTCATCCCGTAGATCCCCGATGTTATTAGAGTATTCCATGTTTATAATATTTTCACAACATTAAGTTTAATAATTACAAACATTGGGTAGCCAGGTTGAAAAATTTAGATTTTGAGTTTTGGATATTAATATTAACATACGTTGTTGTTGTTGTTTTTTTCACCACTAGGGCTGTATGGTGGCATTCATCTTCTGTTACATGAATGGAGAGGTGTGTATTTCATAGACATTCATGAAGTTAGGACTGTATATCTTTTCTTGTGGTACTTCTACACGCACATCTTGAAATTATTTAACATATCCTTGTTGGCTGCGGATCTTAATGATAGTAGAGGGTAACATCGATGTAAACCATCTAATGTGTAATATAGTAACACATTTCTGGGTATCAAAATACGATGTATTAATAACTATTAATATAATAATTATTATAATAACTATTAATATAATAATTATTATAATAACTATTAATATAATAATTATTATTATAACTATTGATATAATAATT